TTGCACAATCAGGTGGTATACAAGCTATATTAAGTTTAACACAATCATCATCATTTCAAGGTTGTGCATCATTAATAACATTAATATTTCGTCATATTATGGAAGATGATAGTAATTTACGTTTAGCTATGGAAAAAGCAATACGTCAAGCATTAACAGGTAATCATGGTGTATCAATTGGTATACAACCAGCATGTCCTGGTTCACATGAACTTAATGTTATTTTACGTATACTTGGTCCAGCTATGACACGTGCACCAGATATATTTCTTGATGTTGCATCAAATGTTTTACAATTATTACCACCATCAACTGGTCGTTTAGCTGGTACATTAGGTCGTTTTACAAATCCATTTTTAACTGATGATGATCATCATACACAAACAACAAATTTACCAATGGGTCCATTAATATTACAAGCACGACCAGCAACAAGTCAAACAACAACATCAGAACAAAATTCACAAATACGTACAACACGACCAATAACGACACCAACAACAACACCAACAGCAACAACAACAACACCAACAGCAACAACAACAACAACAACAAATGATACAGTTGGAGAATTAGCTGAACGTTTATTAGTTGATTTACTTGATTTTCTTTTAACCAATGATGATAATAATAATAATAATAATAATAATAATAATCCAAAACGTTTATTATCTAAATCAACTGTTTTACGTATATTAGCTGAATTAATACGTTCATATGCAAATGTTGCTAAACTTGTATCAACAAAAACATTTACATTATCAGATAATCAAACATGTTCAGCATTATCATATATACTTGATTATTTATTACCAGGTACAAATACTCAACATATTGATTATGATAAAGATATACCAGCATTATGTCGTTTATTTCTTGTTGCTATGGCTGCATGTAATCATTGTTTAGAATCACAAATGAATTTAGTTAATGAAGTTAAAATGTCATTAAATAAAATTTTAATTTTACCTGAATGTGATGAAAAACATATGAAATTACAAGCATTAGCTAATATAATTAATACAATGATTGAATCATGTCCAGCACCAAATACATCAACACCACAACAAGGACAACATCGAATGTCACAATCAATTATAAATAATATGATTAAAATAATGTATAAACGTGGTTTAATTAATGATTTAGCTAAAATGATTCATAGTATTGAATTATCAAGTCCGAAATTAGCTGATACAGTTAATGCTGTACTTAAACCTATGGAAACATTATCACGTGCAATTAATTATGCAACATCATTACATGTACAAAGTGGTACACGTCCACATACAACAAGACATCCAACAACAATAAATCAAACAAATACTTCAACTACTACTATTCCAACAACAACAACAACAGATTCAACAGTACCTATTCAAGAACAAACAACAATAAGAAATGATGAACAACCATTACCATCAACAACAACAACAACGACAACAATTGATTCATCTCGAACTATTGAACAACAACAACAACAACAACAAGCATCAATTAATTCAACAATTGTACCTATACAAGATGATAATCGTTCATCAATTGATAATAATACAAATATAAATAATAATAATACATCAATTAATTCAGTTAATCAAGTTCAATTAAGTATAAGTCAAGAAGAATTATTAAATGCAACTGATATGGAACCAGTTGCTGGTTTACCACAAGATGTTGATATATTTGAAAGAAATATTCATGGTACAGCTAGACTTTCAACAGATGAAGAAGATGATGATGAAGATGAAGAAGAAGTTAGTATTGAAGATGATGATGAAGATGAAAATGGACCTGTTGGTACAATTAATGTTGAATTTAATGTTGCACATCCTCTCGATGATACACATGAACATGGTATGTTTATTATATAAGAAAAAAAAACAAAAAAAGTTAAATTTAAGTTTCATTTGTTTGTAAAACACGATCTAAAAGAAATGTATAACAGTAGAAATTTGAATCCGTTGTTATTTAGCAATAACAACTATTTTAATCTTGTAAGAATTGTACTAACAATTCCTTTTTTTTTTTGTTTTTTAAATATAAATAGCATCAAGTTCAAGTTCAACAACAACAAGTGCTGATCATGATGATGAAGATGATGCAGAAGAAACTGATAGTCCTGATGAAGATATGGATATGGAAAGTGCCAATGGAAATGATCGTGAACCACAACATCGGTAAGATTTTGTAAAATGAAAACGACTTCACATAAAATATTTAATCATTTTTCAATCATTTAAAAGCATTCGATTTTTTTTTATTAGTTATAGTGATGATGATGAAGATATTACTAGTGAAGAAGAAGGTGATGTTCGTTTAACAGGTATATAAAAATAGTTCGATGTGGTGGTTTTATTTTTGTTTAAATTTTTATTTCTTTTCATTTATAGGTCCAACATCATCAGGTGAACAACATGATGATGAACATGATGATGATCTTGATGAAGATAGTGATAATACTGAAAGTGATGAAACTCATACTGGTGATGAATTAGATGAAACTGAAGGTCCTACAATTGATATACATATTGAAACAGCATCAAGTCAATCAACTGATGAAAATTTAACAACAAATAATGAAAGAATAGGTCAAACAAATGAAACAGATGATAATATTCATGATGATACAACAAATAATAATAATAATAATCAAGAAGATGAAGAAGAAGAAGATGAAGATGATGAAGAAGATGAAGAAGAAGAACAAGATGAAGATGAAGATGATTTTGCTGAAGATGATGATGCTGCTGCTGAAGATATTGAAGATATGGTTGATCGGTAAAATTATTTTTTGTTTTAAACATATCTTTTTTTTTTTTTTTTATTAATAATGAATCTTATTCGTTTGTTTAGTGATATGGATGCAGCTAATGCTTGGCAAGATGATGATGAAGAAGATGAAGATGATGAAGATGAAGATGAAAGTACTGAATTTGAAGATGATGATGGTGATATAGCTGATTATGTTACTGAAATGGAACTTGATGAAGAAGTTCTTTCTGAAATTCGTAATAATCTTATGTCACCAACTGATATTGATCCTATATTAATATCTAATCTTCAAGGTGTTCGAATTCGTGCAAGTGGTTATCCATCATTTCATGGTATTAATGATACAGGTTAGATTTTTATTGAATAAAAATAATAATTGAATTTTTTGCTTTTTGTTTTCTTTCTTTAGTTGATCCAGCTCTTCCACCACCACCAATCAGTGTTCCAGCTTTACATCCATTACTTGTTCATCATGCTGATAATCAATTAAGTTCTGGTGCTTTTTCACGTTTTCGTCAATTAGGTACAGCAACAACAACAACAGCACCAAATCAAACAAATATAAATGTTTTATCAACACAAGCAAATCCAACAGCAACATTAACATTTGGTCAACAAAATGGACCAACAATGCTTACTGGACAAACAACATTAACTGTACAACAACAAATTAATCAACAAGCACAACGAAATCGTATGTTGCTTTTTTCTTTTTTTAAAATAGTTTTTATTCCCTCTACTGAAAGAGAAAGTCATGCATCGAACACAACTACGATGACTAAATATTCGTTACACAGAACGAAAGAAAGTCCATTTATAGAAAAATAATCTCAATAGATCAGTCAGTTCAGTTCAGTCTGACCTACGGCTTCACGGCCTGATCGATAGGATCATCTCTCCTCAGTCTTGACAAAAATTTCATTTGAAAATTCGGTCAATTTTAGTAAAAACCTTCCAGTCAGCCTCTTGAATTATCGATCTCTATCTCGAATCCTAGCAATCACAGGACACTCCACTTCATAACTATTCATTCTTTATTTTATTTTCTATCATATTATTCTCCTTAACAGTAGAGAACTTAGCAATGTTTGCATTGCATTATTTATCATATAAAACCTTTTTTGTATATTTCTTTTAAATATAGGTACAACACGAACATTATTTATTCCAGGTGGTACAGCAACATTTGGTCGTGCAGCAGCTGGTGGTTTTGCTGAATATCTTCAACATGCTAATCAACTTGATGTTGATCCATTAACTGGTTCAACATTAACAACTAATGGTAATATACCTGGTACAGCAACAGCACGTATACTTGTTGGTAATGGTGCTGATTCTGAAGCATTAAGATTTTTACATGATCAAATGTTAATGGATATAGCACCACCAACTAATGAAGGAAATGAAAATATTGATGGTACGAAAATTTATATGATACGAACACCATTAGCACGTTGGATTGAAGAAAGTATTGTACTTGATGGACCATATGTACATGATACTGTTTTAGCATTAAAATCTAAAATAACTGAACCATTAGAAAAACAATATGAATCTGAATTACAAATTGTTTTAGCTAAAAAAGCTAAAGATGATGAAGAACGTAAAAAACGTTCAGAAGAAAAAGCACGATTAGATGCTGAACGTGCACAAGCAGCAGCAGCAGCAGCAGCGGCAGTAGCTACAACTGCAGCTACATCAACTACAACAAATGATCAACAATCAATAGAAAATACAACGACAGCAACAACTAGTGAACCACCTATATCAATAACATCATTTACTGATGATATTAATCTTCGTCAAGATGAAACACTTCTTTCACCACAATTACAACGTTCTGCACAATTACATGCTACTTCTACAACAAATCAAGATATAAATACAATTTCTATACATCCACCTAATGATGAATCAACACAAATTAATTTACAACCAGGTGAAACATTAGGTAGGAAAATTTTATTTTTATCTTTGTTAAATTTTTTTTTTTTAAATTAAATTTTCATTAGTTACTACTGATGCTGGTACAAGTCCATTAACAACTGAAAATATGTCTACTGATGGTCAATCACCTGGTCAGTTAGCAACATCACCTACAACATCAATGGAAATAAATCATCCATCACCAGTAAGAGAAATTTCAACTGAACAACAACAACAACAACAACAAGTAACAATTGAACCAGAAACAACATCAACAACAATGACTGAACAAATTCCTTCACCAACTACAACTGAACAACTAATTGCTGCTTCTGATGTTGCTACTTCTTCTACAGTAACAACAGCACCACCACTAGTTGAACCTGAAGTTGAATGGACAACATTAGTTATTGATGGTCGTGAATTTCGTGTACCAAAAGCTTTAGAAATTGATCCATCATTTTTAGCTGCATTACCTGAAGAAATGCGACAAGAAATTTTAACTGATCAAGTAAGAAATTTTGAACGTGAAGAAAATCAACGACGTGCACAACGTGCTGCTGCATATGCTGCAGCTAATCCAACAGCAAATTTAAATACACAAACAATTGATGGTATTAATAATGATAATTATTCATTACGTACAAATCAAACAACAAGTGAAGCTGTTATTGGTGAAATGCTTGGTGAAATTAATCCAGAATTTATTTCAGCATTACCACCTGAAATACGTGAAGAATTATTAGCTGAACGTCGTCGTACAGCAGCAACAATGGCTGCTATGAATGGTGTTAATTTACCTGATAGTGGTCCAGCAGAATTTTTACGTACATTACAACCACATTTACGTCAACAAGTTCTTGCTGATATGGATGAAAGTCAAATAGGTGCTTTACCTGAAGATATGGCTAATGAAGCACGTGCATTACGTGCTGCTATGGAAACTCAACAACAACAATATTTACGTGAACGTATGGTACGTAATCATCATGATATGATGAATATGTTAACAAATAATACACATCATAGTACACGTCCAATACGTATGTATAATTTTCGTGCATTACAAGAAGCACGTAATAATCGTACAGATAGACAACCAACAAATTGGTATTCATTACGTACAGGTACAAATACAGGTGAATTAAATAGTACAACATCAACAATAGGTTCACGTGGTCGACAATTACTTGATTATGAATCAATATGTTGTTTATTAATATTATTATTTATTGATGATACACGTTTAAATTTTACACGTTTACAAAAAGTTTTAAAAAATTTATGTCATCATACACAAACAAGACAATGGATTATAAAAGCATTATTATCAATTATAAATAAAAGTACAGGACGTACAGAATATGATGGACCATCAACATCAACACCAGGTGCACCAACACTTATATTAAAAAATTCAACAACTAATAATCAAATACAAACAATTAATAATATTAATGATATTCAACAAATAAAAAATATTAATCCATCATGGTTAACAATTAATTTTGAAAGTGCATTTGGTGCACGTACAAATGTTTTTAAAATTCAACGTATTGGTAATACAAAACGATATGGTTCAATACAAATATCTGTTCATGCACAAGCATGTCCAATTGTTTGTCGACAAGTACTTGAATCATTAATAATATTAGCAAAAAATTTTCCAGAACAATTTCTTCCATTACCATTAAATAATAATGAACAACAACAACAACAACAACAACAACCAGCAATATTATCATCAAATGAACAAACAATTAAAGTAACATCACCTGATAAACAATTAATAACAACACCATCAAAAACTTCTCCAAATATACGTGATTTATCATTTTGGGAATTAATTCTTAAATTAGATCAATCATTTAATAATCGTTTATCTCGTTCATCAACAACAAATCCATTACAAAATATATCATCGATTGTTATTACAAATTCAACAACAACTAATAATAATAATATTACTACTACATCAATAACTACAACAAATAATAATAATAATAATAATCAACGAACAACATTGACATTAAATATAAATAATAATGAAATTGATTTTGAATCATCACCATTAGCTGCATTATTACTTATGCTTGATCATCCAATATTAAATAAAAATAATCAATTAATGGATAAATTATTTAAATTACTTTCAATTATATCACAAAGTTTTCAAATACATATTATTACTAAAAAAGATGTTTCACCATTACCATTAGCTACATCAACACCAATGACAACTGAACCATCAAATCAAACAACAACAACAACAACAACAAATACAATTCAACCACCACCACCACCACCACAACAACAAACAAATAATCAAACATTAACAACAAATACAAATAATAAATTAGTTGTATCAGATGATCAAGTTGTTTTAGGTTCACAATTAGATTTAGTTATTAAAGCATTAATATCAAAATCATGTACAGAAGATGGTCTAGAATTTGCAACAATACTTCTATTAAATATATCGAAAATTAATCAAGCTACACGAGATAAAGTTTTACATTTATTACTTAATGGTATTCGTTTATTAGGCAAAGATGTTAGCGAAGAAATTAAGTAAGTTTACTTTTTATATTAAAAAACAAAACCATTAGAGTCCAACAGGTTAATTCCGGACTAGGACCCGAAATGGGCTTGGCCAGTGGCCCAATTCGACACTAAGAGGCTCAGATATCATTTAAGTCCGCCGGCTCGGCTCGGTCTGTTGAGTTTTCCAAGTCTGGCTGGTCCGGTGCGCCCGATCCAAGAGAAATACCTCATTGGACCACCGGCCCAACTAGCCCAGCCCGACTCATTTCGGGTCCTGTTCCGGACCCCATAGACGTTGGTCACCCAATACAAAAAAAAAAAGTCAGAACTATCAAAATAGAAAATTTATTTTATTTTTTCTATAAAATACAAATTTATCTAAAATCTTTATATCTCTTATTTAGACAATTACATTGGGAAGTTCAAGATTATTTATCAAGAAATAAATCTACAACAACAACAACAACAACGACAGGCAATGATGATGAATCATCAAATACACCAATAGATGAATCTGTAAAATTATTTGATTCATATAGAACTATACGTTCAAATACATTAACATCAACAACAACAACTATAGATCCAAATATAAAACAACAAGATTTACAATTACCAGCTATGGTTATGTTAACATCTAAAACAGCTAATCAACAATTTTTATTACGTATACTTAAAGTTATAATACAATTACGTGAAGCAACTAAAAAAGAACAACTTGATGCACAAACACATTTTGAAAATGAATTACATACATTAACACGTCGTCTTGATACATTACGACAATCATTACGTTCTCATATACCATCAACTGATAATAATAATCAACAAAATGAAATTTTACAACCTATTGATGATTTATCAAATCGTTTAGAACAAATGCGTACACGTTTACAAACAATATTAAATTCAAATACAATTGAACAACGTCAACAATTATTTTCACAACGTGAAACAATAAATGATATTCAAGATATATATCGTTTAATACGACAACTTGAATCATTAATTGAAAATTTTCATGAATCATCATTAACAACAACACCATCAACAACAACAACAGCAGCAACAACAACAATGACAACACGTATAAATGATGTTTTACAAACAATACCACCATTATTTCCACAAATAATTGAACCAATGGATATTGGACAATATTTACCAACACAACAAATTAAATTAAGTGAATTATTAAATATAAATCAATTATGGGATTCATTAAGTGATTGTTTATTATCATTAGCTAAATTACCTGATCCACATGCTGTTTTAGTACTTCAACCAGCTGTTGAAGCTTTTTTTCTTGTACATGCTGCTGATTTAGATAATGAAAATGATAAAACAAATCGAAAGAAAAAAGATCGTGAAACACGTGAAGGATTATCACATTTAGAATGTTTTGGTCCAGCACCAACAACAACAACATCAGATGAACAATCATCAACAACAATAACAACAACAACAACAACAACAACAACAACAACAGATGATATATCATCATCAACACCAACACTTATTTTACGTACAAATAGTACACAAACAATATCAACAAATGATTTACCATTAGATGCACAAAAATTTGTTGAATTTGCACGTACACATCGTACTGTATTAAATCAAATATTACGTCAAAGTACACAACATTTAAGTGAAGGACCATTTCATATATTAACTGATTATACATCAATACTTGATTTTGATGTTAAAAGAAAATATTTTCGTCATGAACTTGATCGTTTAAAAGAAAATATACGTGGTGAAGATTTAGCTGTACATGTTAGACGTAATAATGTATTTGAAGATTCATATAGAGAATTAAGTCGACGTTCACCTGAAGATTGGAAACATAGATTTTATATTGTATTTGATGGTGAAGAAGGACAAGATGCTGGTGGTCTTTTACGTGAATGGTATTCAATAATAGCACGTTCAATGTTTGATCCAAATTATGCTTTATTTATGATTAATCCAGGTGATCGTGTTACATATATGCCTAATCCATTATCACATTGTAATACAAATCATTCACAATATTTTAAATTTATTGGACGTATTATAGCTAAAGCTATATTTGATAATAAATGTATGGATTGTTATTTTACACGTTCATTTTATAAACATATACTTGGTATACCTGTACGTTATACAGATATGGAATCAGTTGATTTACAATTTTATAAAAATTTAGTTATGTTATTAGAAAATGATATACATCAATTAGGTTTAGATTTGACATTTTCATTAGATGCAAGTGAATTTGGTGTTAATAAAGTTATTGAATTAATACCAAATGGTTCAACAATATCAGTAACAAATGAAAATAAACATGAATATGTTAGACTTGTTTGTCAAGAAAAAATGATTGGTTCTATACGACAACAAATTAATTCATTTTTAGAAGGTTTTTATACAATTATACCAAAAAGTTTAATATCAATATTTAATGAACAAGAATTAGAATTATTAATATCAGGTTTACCAGATATTGATATTGAAGATCTTAAAGCAAATACAGAATATCATAAATATAGACCAAATTCTTTACAAGTAAAAATAAATTTTGCATTTGTTTTTTTTTTTTGTCTCTCGTGAAACTTACATTACGAATATAGTGAGTAGAAATTTTAAGTTGAGATTTTACAGCTCTGCCTTCATAGCAATGAGAGAAGTAAAGGCCAAAGATTTATTAGGTATATTTTCATAATAACTGAAGATAACAGACGTGTTAGACTCTTTTCGTAGAATTTCTGTACATTGGAAAAAAAGGTGATGAATGGCATTAACAACAAGATTTTGGATTGTTCTAGAATATTTCAAAGGTTTTCTCGAAATTTGAATTATTGAAACACATATATGTACAACAGACTTATATATCAGTTAATTCGCTGATTAGAATAGTAAAATAGTGTTAAACAAAGCAAAAACTGAAATAAAAAATAAAGCAAAAATTTTTTTAAAATCCCTATTCGAAATGCAGAAATAAATAAATTATATATCCGAAATAGAAGATTCTTCTGGATTGATCGATGTAAAAGACGTATTAGAAACTTCTCGGACTTCTATTGTATATCTACACAATTTTAATTTTTCAAGCAAACCTTCTCAGATGCTATCGGCCGTCATCTATATATAAAAGAAGTTTCACAATGTTGATGTATGAGTCTTCTCTTCGATATCATCCTTGAAAAAGAACTATAGTCTGCTGAAAATTTTTCATTTGACATATTTCGTATAATGAGACTAAAGAGAGGTACGTGTAAGCTTCACATTTTAGCCTCAGAGAAGTTGTACTGACAAGGCTTTTGTTTGTTTTTTTTTGTTTAATGGAATAAAATAAATATCCTTTTGTATTTAGGTTCAATGGTTTTGGCGTGCATTACGATCATTTGATAAAGAAGATTTAGCAAAATTTTTACAATTTGTTACAGGTACATCAAAAGTACCATTACAAGGTTTTGCTAATTTAGAAGGTATGAATGGTGCACAAAAATTTCAAATACATCGTGATGATCGATCAACTGATCGTTTACCATCAGCTCATACTTGGTAAGATATTATTCTTTTTTTTTTTTAAATATAATTTATATTCATGATTTTTTATGTTTAGTTTCAATCAACTTGATCTGCCAGCTTATGAAAGTTATGATAAATTACGTAAAATGCTTTTAATTGCAATCCGTGAATGTGCTGGATTCGGATTTGCTTAAAATAAAATATGTTCTGTTTATGGCCTGTTAAAGCAACAGCTAGTCTTTCGCCGTTATTTGCTATTTTGTTGTGTTTTCTCTTTCGTTCTTTCTTTCTCTATATATGTTCTCGGTTTTTTTTTCTTTTCTTTTTTTTGAATATCATGAAACGGATATTAGAACTCTCACATTCTTTCCTTTGGTTGGTATCGATCAATATTAGATGGATTGACAGTGAATTTTTCCTTGTGCGCCGGTCATTTTCGTTTTTTTCCTTTTAATCCGATCTATCCAACGGTTCTCTGTTCATTTCTGTGCGTGCGTGTGTGTTTGTGTGTGTTTTCTCTCTCTTTCTCTATATATAAATCTTTATGCGCTGTAGATGCATTCCTTGGCTAGCGGATATTCTAATCCGTATCATTCTCTCTCTTCATGGTTATTATTATTATTATTATTATTCTTTTGATGTTATATGAGTAGAGAAGCAAAACAAAATCATATGGATGTTCGGCGCTTTATTTCTATTTTATGTATATAAATAAACGAGAGAAGAGAAATTGTTCAATCTTTCTTTTTTTTTTTATTTATTTATTTGTCCTACAGAATGTTTTTTTTTATCCGAACTTCTTCTACAATGAAATTCTAAGAGTAAACTCAGAAAAAATAAACTAACTGTTTTAGTTGTTGACGGAAAGGCAAGTAGAAACAGTATACTTCAAGGAAATTGAGAAGCAGAATGACATTTTCCTCGAATCCATTAGCATCTATTTGTAGGCTGTAACAATCGGTTTATAATTAGCAAAAGCTATTATTGAAAGCACTTTTGATCAATTTATTCATCAATGGAACATTCAAAATCAGGGCCAATGTTTATGATAATATTTTTTTCTTGACCATGAATATCGTTAAATGTCTCAAGAAGATGAAAGGAAAGATGTCGTGAATGAAATGAGAAATATGTAATATTTTGAAAATTTCGAGCTTATGAAATCCTCTATTTTCCTACATGATAAAAAAGCTACAAGTATCAAAATAAGTAAATCATAACTCTATCAGGCAATATATTGAATTCATCATTGTTTTTATCTAAATAACAAGTTCATCATATTGTTTTGTTTTTTTTTGTTTTGTAGAATAAAATGTCAAATTTGTACAGTTACTTTCAACGTGTTGAACCCAAAAAAATGGCCGCTACAACGGCAAATGATGGATCAAATAGTCAAATGAATAATACACCTAAACATGATAATAATGGAGTTAAAAAAAAGAATCAAACACCAAAAGAATCATTAACATCATCACGTAAATCAATGAATATGAGTGATGTCTATAGTGCTGATTCGCCTAAATCTGAAAAACGAAAACAATCATCAACAATTCCAATAGATGATAATGATACATTACCAAAAAATAAAAGTAAGACAATCATATAAATAAAAATAATTATTTTTATTTTTATTTTTAATATAGAACGAAAAACACTTAATGCACGAAATGAATCGGATAATGAAGATGATGATGAACCAGAACTTAAAGTTAGCAAAGTATATAGAAGATTTATTGAATATCAAAAAACTAAAAATCAAATAAAAATAATCGACCTTTTTAGAGTCAAAATCGAAAACGTATTGCTATTCTTGATAGTGATGATGAAGCATTAGAGAATGGTAAAATATCTTTCATATGTAATTTTTTTGTTTTTTTAAATTTGTTATGTCTATAGATCGTATGGATGTTGATGTTACACCATCAAATAAAAAAACAAATAAAAATGATACAAAAACAAAAGGTAATAATTCAACTCGAACATCAAGAAAGAAAAAAACTGAAGAAAGTGAAGATGAAACAACATTATACAATGATGGTTCAGCAGATGAAAATGATGAAAGTGAAGTTGAAGAATATGAAGATGATGATGAAGATCAAGTATAAATAAGAAATTAAAAAAAAAACATTTGTATTTATTTTTTTATGATAGACGAAAACACCAAAACGTCGAACAACAACTTTAAATAGAGAAAAAAAAACAGTTAAACGTGGTAATGATAGTAATTTTACACATCTTTCTTTGGAATTTCTCAAAGATGGAAAACGACGGTAAGTTTAATGTTAAAATTTTCTGAATATACTACATTGAAATTTTTCGTTTGATTTTGTCAAACTTTTTCTATTTGCTTTTTTTAATCAAGATTTAATTTATTATTATTTTATTTTCAATGTATAATTATATTACAATTGATTAGAATTTCTGATGAATAGAACGATTTTAATAGATAACAAAGAAAATAGAGTTGACTAAATCATTCTATAAAAATTTGATTGAATCGATTAGTTTGATTTCTCTATTCATCGATATTAAATAATATTTACTCTATAATTCTTAATGAGACGTTTGTTTTTTTTGTATTCATAGTGATGCTAATCGTCGTCTTCATACTGATCCAAGTATATTCATTAATAAAATCGATTTCTTTTATTGCTATTTCATTATTTAGACTATGATCCACGTACATTATATGTTCCAGAAGATTATCTTAATACTCTTACAGCTGTAAGTTGCATCTATATTGTTTTTATATTAATTTATATAATTTTTTTGTTTCTTCTATTTTGCAAGGCAGTGCGTCAATGGTGGACATTTAAAACTGAATATTTCGATACAATTCTTTTTTTTAAAGTAACTATTTCTTATTTATATTTGTATTATTATTTTTATTTTTTGATATTATAGGTTGGAAAATTCTATGAACTTTGTATGTTAACAATATTATATATGTTTAAAAAAAAAAAGAAGATTGATTTTTTTAATTTCTATATTTAATAGATAATATGGATGCTGTTATTTGTGCACCAGAATTAAATTTAACAATGATGAAAGGTAGATATTTCTTCCGATTTTATTTTATATATATATATTATTATTCTTGAGTAAAATCAGGTGATATGGCTCATTGTGGTTTTCCTGAAAAAGCATATAGTAAATTTGCTGATATACTTGTTACAAAAGGTTATAAAGTAGCACGAGTCGAACAAACTGAAACACCAAATATGATGAAAGAACGTCTTGAACAACGTATATATATATATATATATATTTACTTTTATATATAAATTTTTTTAAATAATCAATTTTCTTATAGAAGCAGGACGAAAAAATAAATTTGATAAAGCAGTACGTCGAGAAATTTGTCAGATAACAACACCCGGTACAAAAACATTTAATACGTTAGATAATGATAATGTATTTCGTGAAAGTTTATATTTATTATGTATTGTTGAAATAGTATGTTGATTTAAATAATAAAAAAAAAAAGAATAAAAATGATTTGATTTTTTTAATTTTATTTTAGCCAATTAATGATAATAAAATAACACCATGTGAATTCGGTATATGTTTTGTTGATACAACTATTGCACAATTTTATGTATGTTTAAAGATTTATTATGAATTATATATATATATATATATATATCTTTTTTGTTTCTTATAGATTGGTCAATTTGAAGATGATCGATATTTATCACGTTTACAAACTTTACTTGCTCAATATCCACCAGTACAAGTAACATTCATTTTCTTTTCTTTTTTTTTTGTTTTTAAAATAAATATTATTTATATTTTTAATTAGATTTTATGTGAAAAAAATAAATTATCAGAAAAAACAAAAAAAGTTTTAACATTAACTCATGCTAAAATGGAATATTTAATAGCAAATAAAGAAATGTATGAAACAACAAAAACACTTGATATTCTTCGTGATGATACATATTTCAAAGATGAAAAAGGAAATCTTAAATGGCCAGATGCTTTTCAACATGTTTTTAATGAAGGTAAAGAATTAATCTCCAATGTGAAAATCTTGCCACAAAATATTCATTCATTTTTCAACCATTTAAACATAACTGGTTCCTTAGTTTGTATCTTGGACCTAGGGTTGGTCCTGAATTCGGATCCGAAAATTTTGGACTCGATGGGCTTTACTTGGAACAGTTTCAATTCAAAATTATTGTCGAACATTGAATTTTATACAAAATGAGATGTTACAATAAGCGAAATCTTATCTATACGTTTCAATTAAAGCTTTAATTCCTATAGAAATCGACATTGATTAAAAAAAGTTGTTATTTCAAAAACTGTTTTTAAATATAGAAAATTTAAAAAGTCTCTCATGCAAAAGTAAATAGCACGCTTTGTAAAGGAAACCAAACTAAACCATTAGAAATTATTTCGTATATTAAATTTGATAGATTTCAATTGAAATATCAAACTACCCAAAAATAATATTCTTTACAAACATTAATTTGAACCTTTTTGAAACAATCTGATGAAAAATTTTTTTCAATCAGAGTACAGCGTAGAAAAAACGCTTGCCCTACAAATCTCTAACCAGTTAGTGTATATTTTGTGCCAAGACCTTCGCACTATAGGTTATATGTAAAAAAAAAAATTCTTTTTTTTTTTTATAGGTGATGAACAAGGTTTACATGTTCGTTCAAATTTTCAATTATCAATGCGAGCATTAGGTGGTATTATTTGGTAAGTTTATTTGATAGGTATTAAAATTTTTTTATTAGAATTATTTATTTAGGTATTTACAACATTGTCTTGTTGATAAAGAACTTGTATCAATGCGTAAATTTTCAATATTTCAACCACCTGATGAAAATATTGAACTTAAAGAAGTATCAACATTTAAACAACAAAATATGGTTAGATTTAAATAAATTTTATATTATTAAATAAAATAAATTTATTTAGATACTTGATGCAACAACATTATATAATTTAGAAATTTTATCAAATAGTCGTGGTGGAAAAGAAGGTTCATTATTATATACATGTGATCGTTGTTCAACTCATTTTGGTAAACGTCTTTTGGCTCGATGGCTTTCAGCACCATTATGTAATGTTAATGAAATTAATGAACGATTAAATGCTATTGATATTTTAAGACAAAAAACTGATCTATGTACTAAAGTTCGTGATAAACTTAAAACTATTCCTGATCTTGAACGACTTTTTTGCCGGTAAAAAAAAAAAATCAAGAATTATTTCATTCTTAACATTTATTTATTTTTTTCTTGTTTAGTATTCATTCACTTGGTCATCGTCCACTTGATACTGATCATCCAGAAAATCGTGCAATACTTTATGAAGATATAACTTATAGTAAACGTAAAATTCAAGATTTCTTAGCTGCATTATCTGGTTTAAAAGTAGCTAATGAAATAGTACAATTATTTTCAAAATATAATGATCTTTCATTATCATCATTATTACTTAATACTATAATATATCAAAATAATGAAAATAAAAATAAAAATTTTCCTTATCTTGATGATATACTTGATTATTATACAAATGCATTTTCACATCAACAAGCACGTAATGAAGGGAAAATAATTCCAACAATTGGTGTTTGTAAACAATATGATGATGCATTAAATGAAATACGTGAAAATGAAAAAAATTTAAATGATTATTTAAATAAACAAAAAAAAATTTTAAAAAATCATGATATTAAATATATACATGTACAAAAAACACGTTATGCTATGGAAATACCAGAAAGTGCTTGTCGAAATTTAGATGATGATTATGAATTAATGAGTTCACGAAAAGGTTTTAAACGGTAAAAAATTAATCTATTAATATATATATATATATAAGATATCGTTAAGTAGCTTAGACAAAAAAAAACTCCCATAGGATACTCTTTGTAAATATTAATGAACTGTTATTTATCTTAGTGAGATCATATTTAATTTTTCATAACCATAGGAAGTATTCCTATTTCTTAATTAAATTCTATTGATATCAAATGACTTCTTAGATTTATATTCATTTAACAGAAAAGTCAAGGTCGTCATTCAAATGTTTTTTTTTTCTATATGCGCAAAATCATTCATTAGCGATATGACTTCACGTCTGTCTCGAGATAAAGAATTTTTATATGCTACATGTCGATGTTAAATTACTCTTGATACCGGAGAAAAATTAATGGTTACAGACAAGTTATTAATAGAAAACTAGCATTAACAATGTGACAGAAAAGAAAACAGACATCGGCTGTCATTTTAGACATTTCACTTTAAAAAAAAAACTTCGAATAGCAATAACATTTTTGAAAATTAAATAGTTTATTGAAACTACACAATTTCTATCCAAAGTTTTTCGAAAAAAAAAAATTCGATTTACTTTTCATTAGTATAACGTAACAGAGTACAAATATATCAATAAGAAAATGCTGTAATAATTGAATAGGAAGTTTAAAAGCACTTTCAAACGATACAAATCCTTCTTTAAAATCTCTAGAAAACCAGTTTTTGAAGTCTGATCTTGGTGAAGATTTTACTATACATGAAGTTTTCGGATTTTTTTGTATCGTAGAGATATTTGCTAATTACTTTCTATTTAATAATCCACTGAAAGAGCCAATATTTTTACCATATATCTATGATTATGTCCCGTTTTTGACCTGAAATGGTCAATATGTAAAATCTCATATATTTTTCTGACAGTTTTAATAAATTGAAAATCTATTAGATCTTTGACTTTACTGGTAAAAACAAAACAGAACTGTCTTTTGTTTTTTCTTATTTTGTTAACTAGAGAAGAATATGACAAAATGCAAGTTTTTGACAAGTTTATTTTTACATTTTTTTTTGAAAAAAAAGAACACATTTTTCATATATAAAAGTCCTGTACTAACTTTTATATTATCTTTATTAGATATTATACCAGTGAATTACGTGAATTAATTGAAGAATTAAATGAAAGTGAAAAAAAGAAAGAATTAGCATTAAAAGATACAACAAGTAGTTTATTTCGTCATTTTGATAGTCATCATGATATATTTCAACGTGTACTTAATTGTTTAAGTACACTCGATATATTACTTAGTTTTACAGTTTATAGTCAATCATATTCAGATATGTGTAGACCTATTATAATTCAAACAGAAGATGATCAACAACCATTTATTAATATTCATGATGGTAAACATCCATGTATGCTTGAAAAAGAAACAAATACATTTATTCCAAATAATATTATTCTTGCCGATAAGGTAAATTCAAAATTTTATTTTTAAATTAATAAATTTATATTTTAGTCATCAACTGAAGTATGGCAAACAAAACCATTAGTACTTGTAACAGGTCCAAATATGGGTGGTAAATCAACATTAATGAGACAAACAGCTGTACTTGCTATTTTAGCACATATTGTATGTTTATACTTTCTTATAAGAATAAAATCGTAGAGAAGGAGACGAGGGAATCTCTTCTGATTTCAATGATTTTTGCCTATAAATTCTACATAGTATTCTAATAAAAATACTAAAAAACTTTGGATCCCTATTGAGATTTTAGTAATCTATCGAATTTTTTTCTCGAGTTTCCAGATTTCGGAAAACTTCTATTTTCGAATTTTGATCTAAAACTTTGCGTATATTGAGAACTTAACTAGACTAGCTTTCATAAAAAAATAAAACTCAAAAGTTTTGAATAAAGTTTCATATCTCGAAAAAAATTTCGTTCAAAAGTTTTGAATTCTTTAATGAAAGCTAGTCTAGTTGAATTCTCTATATGCTCAAAATTCGAAAACTTAAAACCTCCAGAAAATGGATTATATTAAAAATTTGATAGCTTAGTCAATATGAATCCAAATCATTTTACAATTTTTATTAAAATACTGTGTAGTATCTATAAGCAAAAAAATCATTGAAATCGGAAGAGATCCCCGCTGTCATCTCTCTAGTAACGGTCCTAGAGAGGAAGCTCAAGCTCTTTTCTTAATGGACTTCCGCCGTTCATCCTCCTAGGAAGTGTTGAACTCTTTGTGTGGTTACGCCACTAATTATGAATAGAAATTTTATAATAATAAAGAAAAATATAATTTTAGGGAAGTTATGTACCAGCAACATCATGTACAATGAGTGTATGTGATCGAATATTTACACGTTTAGGTGCTAGTGATCGAATTATGGCTGGTGAATCAACATTTTTTGTTGAATTAAGTGAAGCATCATCAATTTTACGTCATGCATCTCGTCATTCTTTAGTACTTATTGATGAACTTGGTTAGAAAAAAATTGAAATTTTAATTTCATTTTTCTTTTAATATAATTATCTATTTTATATTTAAGGACGAGGAACATCAACATTTGATGGTACAGCTATTGCTTGTTCGGTTGTTAATGATCTTGCCAATCGTATTAAATGTCGAACATTATTTAGTACACATTATCATACATTAGTTGATGATTTTGAAAAACATGAAAATGTTGGTTTAGGACATATGGTATGTTATTAATATGATTTTGATAAATTAATTTTTTTTATATAATTATAGTCATGTATGATTGAAAATGATGAAGAAACATTATCAAAACAAACACTTGTTTTTCTTTATAAATTTGTCGAAGGTTCATGTCCAAAAAGTCATGGATTTAATGCAGCTCGTAAATAAATATATTTAACTAAGGATAAAAATATTATATATTAATCATTTTTTTTGTAAAGGTTTGGCTAATATACCTGAATCAATTGTTGAATTAGCACAAACAAAAGCTTCAGCATTCGAACGATGGGTAACACTTAAACGAATATTATTAACATTAAAAAAAGTAACTGATAATTTTCAACAACAAGATATTCTCGAATTCTTATCACAATTAAAACTTAATTAAATATATGATTAACTTATTCTTACTTGTCTGGTTATTTTTATCTTATGTATCTATGTATGTGAGTGAGAAAAAAAAAAAAAGAGATATATATATATATATGTAAAAAAAAAATAATCATGAGAATTTATCTATGTTGTTATTCAAAAAAAAGAGTAAAATAGGTCTTCTTCTTTCTTTTCTTTATTTTTTTTTTTTTCTTCTTTATTATTTATTTTTTTGTACTTAGAAAACATTAATCAAGGTCTTTTTTTGTTGTCTATAATGAACCAACATTAAAAAAAACAGAAGAAGATTACAATTGTTGACGTCTTTCATTTTTTTTTATTTTTTTGTCCTTTGTATATATTTTTGTCAGCTAATAATGATTCATATTCATTATTAAATCACGATAAGAAATCACGCACACAGCTAATGTTGCGTCCTCTAGGGTAGACCTACTAGAAACGTATGCACTGTATGTAAGTATAATCATTTGCTTGCTTTTTTTTGTTTGTTTCCCTTCCAACCAATGTTTTTTCATGGAATATTCGAATGGATAATTTACGGACCGTCTGATGACTGGTAACATTCATATGTGTGTGTGAGAGAGAAAGACGATTGCGACGTAAAATCATTGAGTATTGATTTCATTGATATTTTATCAATATGTTGATAATGACAAAAACCTATAGAGATTTATTTTTTTTTTTTGTTTTTGTTTTGAAATAAAATTTGATAACATATTTATATATTTTATTTTTAGATATTTTCTTTTAAAAATTAATAAATTAAGGATAACAAAAGAAAAATGGCATCACGAAAAAAAGTTTTACTTAAAGTGATTATATTAGGTGATTCAGGTGTTGGTAAAACATCATTAATGAATCAATTTGTTAATCGAAAAGTAAGAATAAAAAGTTTTCTTTGTCTATTTATATTCGATTATTTTAATTTTTTAGTTTTCAAATCAATATAAAGCAACAATTGGTGCCGATTTTTTAACCAAGGAATTACAAATTGATGATCGTCTTGTAACTATGCAGGTAATTATATATTAGATTTTAAGATAATTTGATAACAAAAAAAAAAATAATAATTTTTTTTTTATAGATTTGGGATACAGCTGGTCAAGAACGTTTTCAAAGTTTAGGTGTTGCATTTTATCGTGGTGCTGATTGTTGTATTCTTGTTATGGATGTAACATCACCAACATCATTTAAATCATTAGAAAGTTGGAAAGATGAATTTCTTATTCAAGCTGGACCACGTGATCCAGAAAATTTTCCATTTGTTGTAAGTTATTATTTTATATATATTTGAAAAATAAAGAAAATAAATTTCTATTATTATTATTATTTAGGTACTTGGCAATAAAATCGATTTAGAAAATCGAATGGTAAAATTATTTTTGTTTGTGATTTTACAATTTTTACTTTTTTTTTTTTTTTTCTATTTAGATTCCAACACGTAAAGCACAAAGCTGGTGTCAAGGTATATAAAATTATTTAAATAGAAAATCAGATTTATTTTTTTCTTCGTTTAGAAAAAAATAACATTCCATATTTTGAAACATCAGCTAAAGAAGGTATTAATGTTGAAAAAGCATTTGAAACGGTTGCACGTAATGCATTAGCACGTGAAAAAGAAATTGATCAACAAACTGATTTTCCAATGCCAATACGTATTCCACAACAAGAAGAACAACAAAAGAAAGAAGGATGTTCATGTTAATATAATAAAACTGAAATATATATGGTCTTCTATTATTATTATTATTATTTTTTTTTTGTATATAAACAAAAAAGAATAAAAATTCAAGCTACCTCGATATTTCTCCTAATGTGTTTTTTGGAAGAAAAAATAAGAATGTCTTGCGTATTTCCTCTTATTATATAAAGTTGATTTGTTTTTTTTTTTTTTTTTGTTCTTGTATGTATTTAACTTTTGCGAGCACATTGGTTTCAAATTTTTCTTTTCTTTTCTTTTCTTTTTTGTGTAAAACAAATTTAACATCATGCGCAATATCGACTTTATTAAAATAAAGAAACTGATTAGTCTTCTAAAATAGATTTTCGAACTTTTTTGATTTGTGTATCAATAATTTAGTTGACTAAATGAGTCATTTTTTCATTCCTAGATAAAGGTACACTTAAGTGTTATTTATATTTATTTAATTACACAAAAAGAAAATGTACTGCTAGTCTGATGACTAAAAGGGCAACATTTTTTTGTTAATATTTGTTATTTTGAAAAAAACAATGCTGAATTAAAAACACGCATAGTTTATATTCGAAAGATAACATTCTATGAAAAACTCCTACAATTTCTATTTTTATTAATGAAATAAAGAAACTAATAGTTAGTTATAAGATATACAATGTAAAGTTATCATTGTTTCGCTTGTCAAAGTTCTCTCATATTTTCATATATTTATTTTTGAAGACACAATAATTATGATGAAGAAACAAAAAAAAAAAAGAAATTCATTTCAATATAATTAGTAGATAATTGATGAGTATCTATCATGTAATTAAAAATATGATTTAAATATACACAACCTACTATCACTTGTTGTTCTTCGTTTTTTTAAAGACATACATACGTAAATTATGTTACTTCGATCCGAAAAATATTTATCAAGAATGAAGGATACTAATGAATACTTTCTATCAATTGTCCATGAATGAAACTATGCCATGAATACATCGACATGAGCGAGATAATGATTTTTGTACAATGGCATAAAACAAAATGATAATATTGTCTATATGAAAATTTTTTCTTCTCTAGTAAAAATATGGTACATAGTCTTTTCTTACAATAATTCTTTTGTTTAGGATAGATTCAAATGTAATTTTCGAAATTTTATTATTAAGATCTTCATATTAAATTGAATATCATTTCCTTTGATATATCAATGATTATTAATTAAAAACAAAAAAAGAAAAAAAGAAGATCTTATATAGTTAATGTCATTTGTTAACCATTTATAATAATCAATTGTTTAAATAAAGTTAACAAGAAATTTTATTTGTCATGTGAGATTTCTTAATATTTGCGAAAAAGTCAATATTATTAATGCGTATGATTAATAATAAATAGATTTACAAACTAGAGAATCTTTTTTTTCGAAGATTTTATTTTTTGAAAGAAAATCATTTCCTATGAAAGTGTTTTGCTTTTTTCAATATAATTTTTTCACAAACTCAAAATGTCCAATAATTCCATAGATAGAAAAGAACAAACAACACGGTTAGATTAGAAAAACTTCTTTGAAATGTTCCAGTACTACTGAGTAGTTCGATTACAAAGATTTACATCAGTAATTCCAGTTAGTTTCTGTCTAAATAAACTAAATTTGTTAAGAGAACTTCATACTATCACACGAATTTTGAATCGTTCGAAATTAATTTTTTGATTCGGAACATTCATTCAAATTAGTGCAACTCTTACCAATTGTATCAGCATTGCGATCGAGCATGTTAAGTATTTGCGAAGGCACAAGAATCTTCTTTTTTTCATCATTAGCAAATACTTGATCGCTTGTAATAAGATCATTGATAAATTTAGAATGTTAGTTTATAAGTGTTACTTGAGATTTCGGCGAGAAGCAATCGACGGAAGTAGAAGAACTAACGGATACAAAATTTTCTAGAATAAAATTGAAATATTTGAAAGAATTTATATTTGAATACAAAAAAACATTTTAATAGAAATTAATATGATATATCGATATAGAGAAATGTTAATTATTCAACATTCTTACTCTTTTTGTTATATTGCAGAAAACTTTAATAGAATATTATATTCATCATTTTTAAATTTTATTAAAATCATCAAAAGTAAAATTTGTTTTTTTTTCTTTTGCGCAAAAATTTCAAAAATGACGGATCGATCAATTCGAGTTTGTACAGGTCAATTTACCAGAACTGTTCAGTCAATGTATTTACTAAACTCTTTCCAGCTCTTCCAGAATAGAAGACTACTCAGAAGAAAGATCTCACAAGACGTAATAGAAGGTCATGGATTTTTCAAAATCATTTTCCGAAAATTCGGCAGATATGAGAAGTTTTAGCACCTAAAAACCTTTTTGTGTACTCAAAAAGTGAGTACACTCTAGAATCGGTCAGTGTGTCCGGCCGTCCGGCCGTTAACACGATAACTTTCGAAAGGAGAGTCCGATCGCGATGAAATTTTCTACACAGTTCAGTCTTAACAATATTTCGGTCGAGTTCAAAGATGAGAAGGATTGGCCGAGCTCTTCCTGAGTTATTGCAAAAATACTCATTTTTCCCTGCACCTTCCCTATGGAAAGATCGACCCATCCCCACTTTCGTAAAAGACTTTTCCTATCATAGTCAACTAAAACCCCAACTATTATATACCATTCGATAGAGAATTTTACGAGCTACAAAATGGTATATAAAACATAAGGAAACAAGAAAGCCAACTCAGCTATTGCAAAGATAATTAATCGGAATTCGGTTCTGTTTTTGTCACGCTCTAATTGATCCACAAATAGAGCTCTATCTTTCGATCACAGAGATGATAGTTCGAGGTTTTCTGGGGTGGAGAACTCGAATCTGTGCTCTATTCGCCTCGAAATCCCATTGGTTGAACAGTAACCAATAGAAATCAAGTTATAGGAAAAACGACTTTCTTAGGGTAAACCAAGGTGAAGAGTTCAAATCTGAGCTGTATTCATCCCCAAATCCTATTGGTTGAGCAGTAGCCAATAGAAATCAAGTGTTTATAGATAAAGTTTGCCAGAATAATTTTTATATCCCCATATTCTAGAACGACTCATCTGTCTCATTCACTTTTTGAAGTACACATAACTCTCGGATTTAAATCCGAAGTTTCCGCATTTATTTCTAGTAAAAATCTAGTTTCACGGTATTTAGTTGCTAATAATGCCTATTTGAATATTAGAAAAGTTTTTCAAAAATTCTTGATTTTTCAGGTAGATGTTAGCAAAAAACTTAGCCCGCAATATAAAGCCATCTTTGAAAGAATGATAT